TTTTAATCTTTTCTTATACTTCTTTCTTTCTTACTTGCATTTTCTTTGTTTGCTTGCCAACTCTCTTTGTAATTTTATTTTAATAGAAAGAAACTTTAGAACTCATCGACGGATATATATATACACACATATATATATAATAAAATAATAATATATCAGATGAAATTAAATTATTATTTTTTAAATAAATTCAAAGAGATTGAAGATAGTGAAACTAAAATAAATAAATTGACTCACAAAAATGTAAAAATTCATATAATCAACCAATTGAGCTACTAAAATTCATTCGGTATTATTTATTACAAAATTCACAATTTAATTTTAATTATTTAAATTTTAGTCATTAATTTATTTTTTGAGATTTTCAATTTTAACCACCCAATTCTTAATTGCCTTGTAACTCTTCTTAATACACTCTATTTTAATTATCTAAAATAAATAATAATTCCGAAAAAATATTTTAAATAATATGAGACGGAGGGACCACAAGTTTGTATAGAACCTTTTCTCAATTAATAAATGCTAACATAATGTACATTCTCACTAGTCACTACGATAAATAATTTAACTAATGAAATAATTTATATTTTGTGTAAATGAAACGCAACATGATAAAATTAACCAACAATCATTTAATGAGATTTTCGAGTTTTCAAAACAAACGATATCACTTTCTTTTTTTCCGCTCTTTTTTCATATTGTCCTCCATTTCTTCACCCCATTGCTTTAGTAGCATTAAAGGGTTTATTTAATAGGTGATTAGAATTATGCATGTCTTCAATTTGGTATTTGACGTTAATAGTAAATTAGTTTGAAGACAATAAAAAATACACAAATCTTATCTTATCTTGTAATATAGAACTATTTTTAAAAGTAACGCGAGTTTAAAGAAAATAGAGTGTAAACAAATTTCAATATAAGAATAATATTTTTAATAGATATTCAATTCAACACGTTAAATAAATGTGGATATAAAATAGAAAATAAAAATATTGATCAACTAATAATATGACATTTTATTCCCTTGCACTTTTCCACTTTCAATATAATATT